CTGTTCTAGTCTCTGCTTCTAGTCCCCTGGGGTGTGTGCCTGGGGGTGGGAGTGCTGGGACTCATGGTAATCCTATGGTCTTTGGGGAATCCCTCAACTGTGTTTCACAGTGGTTGCACCATTTCACATCCCCTTGCGGGACAAGGACTTTTCCCCAAATATTTGCAGCCTTCTCTAAGGGGTTTCATATCCCTCCTGCTCTGTCCACCGGGCCCACTTAACATGTGAGTGGATGTGGTGGCAGGTTGAGACGCATGGTGAGTCCTCAGTCCCTGACCTGAGGTCAGCCTGCGGCTGTGAGTGCTGCACCCCAGGGCTGAGCGGCCACAGGGCGGATGCATGCCTGCAGCCCACACAAATGAGGCCTGGAGTCGGCTCCAGCCTCTTTCACGCTTCCTTTCATTTCACCTGCTTTCCTTCGGCTCCATCATTTCTTCATTCCAGGGTCTTTTGCACGTGTCATTTCATGCCCCCGTAATAAGCTCACCCACAGAACCTGTGATTGTTCAATTCACTGATTATTAGGCTGAAGTGTATGAAGCGGTCATGGGTCCAAGGTCATTGCAGTCTGGCAGTTTCTCAGGGTTAACAAAAGTCAATGCAGCAAGGGTGGTAGCCAGGTAATGTGCTCCAAACTTGCTCCACAGCCCATCAACTCCCCTCGTCAAGCCTGGAATGACTCCTATCCCCATTTCAAAGATGGGAAGTGTGAGGTCCAGGTTCATCAAGTCCATTTCAGCCTCTTAATGATGGCACTGCTATTCAACATACCCTTCCCATGTCCTTCTCTGCTTCCACACTGCTGCTGGAGGTGACATTCATTTGTGTTCACATTATGTCTCTGAAGCTTTGTTCAGCATGTAATATTGTCATTCTTCCCCATTCACATGTGAAGAAACTGAGGCTCAGCTCCTGACAGTGCTTGCTGGTCAACAACCTCTGTCTAAGGGCCAACATAAGCAGGTGCTGTTCTTCCTGGTAGGAGAGCTGAGGAGCCTTGGTCCACCTTGCCTGTGGATGGCATCCACCCTGACCACAGCACCACACTGTCTGCCTGGCTTCCCCCTGGAAGATGGTCTGCTCAAGGCGCCTCTCATGCTGCAGAGCCTGTCCTTCAGACCCAAAATCAATCAGCGCCACTAACAACATCATATTCACCATCAAAGGTGCAAGTCTTCACAGCAAGAATTTTGTTATCTTAGCAGAAAAGCTGGGGTGAGCATCCTGCAGGGCACGTATTGTAAAACGCAGCTTTTTGATCAAATGTTGGCCATGGTCAATGTTTCTGAAAGCCAATAGGGAAGTTTCAAGTGAAGCAAGACTTAAAGTTCACAATCCCAAGCGCAGCATCTGTTGTCCAAATGGGTGGGTTTCTGCCAAAGGACAGTTCACATATTTAGCAACCTGAACCCCCCCACCCACTGCGAGCCACTTACTTGTTTTCTACCCCCTTTTCCACCTCCCAAGATCTGGGGAATCTGAAGCTTCCCCAGGGATTTGGGAATTTATCATTCCGGGAACATTCATCAAAAGCTTTAAAAGGTTAAATCTGGCTACAGGACTTTTCCCTTCCTGTCCAAAATTTAAATTCTACCCCATGTGAGTCTTATGTTTATGTTGTCAAACTTAACAAATCTATAGGAATAAGAGAATTTGAGGGAAGCTACAGCACTGTCTTAAGAACATGTATCCAAAATTGCATCAAAAATACAAATAATTACAATGTATCTATTTGTCTGGGGAATGTTGAAGTGTAAACAAAGTGAACCTTCAATCATTTTTAAAAATAGACATGTCTTTAGTGCTTTCAATAGGTAGGTGATTCTATTTTTATGTTCTGTTGATGGACTGGTAGAGAAATATTTAAAATAGAAACAAATAAAAGGAAACCCTTGCTTCATTGATTAGAATATGTTTTAAATTATAGAATAAAATCACCAACTCCTGATCCCCAGCCAAAAACATTAAGTAGATCCAGATGTCATAGATATGAATCCAATTGTTTACATCACATCTTAAAAGCAGACATTCAATCTTGCAAAGATACTAGGTGATGTATCAGATAGTCTAAAATACCAAGGACAGAGAACAGATGTTTGTTTTGTATAAAAAGAATACAGTGAAACAAATGCTCAAGAGTGATATTGGATATACATCCACTCTCCCCAATAACTGAATGTGTTCAGCTCAATGAGATTTTCCTAGTACACACCCTTTCTCTTGGCATAAAGTTTCCTATGAGAGTCAATCATTAGGGGGCAAAGAATAATGATATAAAAGGAATAAATCACCGATTTAAAGTTTGAGTTGATGTGGTGCATAAATTGACTCCAAACTCATTCCCTAGCAAGACCCTCTTTAAAACATGTGGATCTCCCTGCTTTGGCCATTTGGATCTTTCTCCAACATGGGTGTGCCATCTGTCTATAACATCTGTCATGCCCTTGATTGCCAAAGTCAATTTGCATGATTAGACTGGCATCTTTATTGCTGGTATATTTCTGATTACTTGTTTCTCTTCTCACCCAAAGAGGTGTAGTTCCACATGGACGAAAATTACAAAAATCATGTTATCCAAGCCTAAAATTGGAACACTCATCTTTTGAGGACCCTGACTGTAATTAGGTGTGCAAGGGGCTACAACCTCTGAGCTGCCTGAAGTATCCAGGACGGATGGTCATTAGCCTCAAGAAGTCATTAGCTGAAGTTCAAGGGTAATCATTAAATGCTAATGTCCTCATAGCACTTTCCAGTCCAGATTGATCATCTCTCTTCAAGAAGTTGCTACATTTGAATGAGAGAGAATCTAAAAGGCATTTATGGTTTGTGAGACATCTAATTTTTTAAAATATAATATTCAAATTATTACAACACATATTTTTTTGAAAACCAATGTATATCTATATGACACAGATTTAGACTTCTGAGCTGATGTCACCATCTTCAGTCACTGAAAACTGTGGAGAACAGCTGGGATTGGGGACTGAAGGAGTCGGCGTTAGAACGGGGAGCATGCCACTCTTGGCTGCTCATTGAACCTCTGTCTCAGGTGGAATGCACGATCCCTGCTGGGTCCCTTTTCAGAAAGGCCCTGCTTTCTGGATCAGACTCCTGGAAGCCTTAGCCCCACTGACTGAGCTGCAGATACTGGATTTCCTGGGGAGCCACAGGTTGCAGAGGGGAGGGCGGACCATGTGTGACATCTCGAGGCCAAGCCTCCCAGGAGCCGTGATGTCCAGCCCTGTCTTAGTCCATTTTCTGTTTTCATTAACACTATGTCACTGACTTGATAGGTTACCAAGAAAAGAGGTTTATTTTGGCTCGTGGTTCTGGTCCAGGGTCAGGGGCTGACTCTGGTGATGGATGGGCCAGCAGAGTCCAGAGGCAGCACTGATGGTCACATGGGGAAAGACGGGGAACATGAGGTTGTGTCTCCTCTGTTCTCTCTTTCTGATAGAGCCACCAGGAGTTAATCACAGGGCCTCCACTTCAATGGCCTTGTCCTACCCTAATCCCAAAGTCCCACCTCTACACGCCACAGCCAGTGAAGTTCCCACAAAGGGGATTAAATTTCGACACGGAAGCCTGAGGGGACACTCAAGCCACAGCAAGCCCCATCTGTAAAGGACAGCGTGGGTGAAGGAAGAGGCTGTACCATGACAGAGGTCAACCCCCTGCTAGAGAGGAAGACATTGGCAGGGCTGGGGAGTGCAGATAAGTAGGCTCCAGAGAAACAGGCCCAGACCACTTGGCTTCTAGAACTGAGCAGTTAGTGTCCAGGCCAAGCCCAGCAGCACAACAGTGAGGCAGCATCTCAGGAACAAGAACATTTCTAGGAAAGCAGGCTGGGAAAGTTTTTCGAAGCTTTATTATGCACTGAGTTTTTTTACAACTCTTGGTAATATTAATAATACACACTTAATCATACCTTAATAGTCATCCCATTAACTACCTCTATTAAAACAGGAGCTACATGAAATAGAATCAGAATTTGGTACCTAGGGAAAAAATCTTCAGAGTTGCATAACATGGATTTCCCCCTGAACATTTGAAGCTGCTCCCACCCTCCTCCCACTCACCCACAGGTACAGACATCATGGATTCAAGGAGCAGTTACTTATTTGCTGAACTTGAAATGTGAGAAAAATAAAAGTGGCTTTTTGTTGTCCCCTCCTGACATAGGAGCAATATTTACCTCCAGGACATGATTGCTCTTTCCAGAGCTGTCTGCCTGAGAGCGCTATTAGCTATGAACCTTCCTGCCCTGGTGGAAGTGGGGAAATGAAGAAGTAGGAAGAGGGAGGCTGTTACTTTGCTCCTTAAGGAGGGATGTCCAAGACCTGTGGGTAGATGCAGAGTACCTAATGCCCACATTCAAGAAGAAACACATCTCTCTGGCTCTTTGAAGCAAGTCCTCTGTGAGTTGCATGTCTAGGGTTAGAGAACCAGTCTTTGAATTCTTACTACTGATGATAGGCAAATCCACACCTAAACTACAAGTTACTTAAGGATATATTTTTATATTATTCATCTGTCTGAAAGCAAAATGATTCTGAATCTGTTTTAGAAATGCACATATATATCTTTGTTTCCAAAATCATTAGCTAAACAGAAAATGCATCTATGACTTCAAGCAGATGGAGACACCCTCAGCCCCACCTACTGACAGCTGTTGCTTTGTTGTGGAGGAAGACATGCAATGGGGTAGGATACCAAATGATCACTGGCAGTCCATGGAGTCCCAAAGCCAGTACACAAATGCAAAATGAAACATCTTTGCAAGCTATGAGCTGCAGGATACCCAATTAGGGCAAATGAAAAATGAACATGCAGACCTCAAGGATGCCTTTTCCTCCTCCTCCTCCTCCTCCTCCTCCTCCTCCTCCTCCTCCTCCTCCTCCTCCTCTTCCTCCTCCATTTTCTTCCCTTTCATCAGTTGCTGGGACAGGTCATCACAGCATCTCCATCTCCGCAGAATGGACGAGGTGAGCTTGCTCACAAGGACTGAGGTCTGTCTGTGCTCAGCTTCCTTCTGATTTAGGGAAGAAGAGTGGCTCCATTGTCTGTGACTCCAGCAAACAGAGAGAAATGACCTCCAGGTAGACAGAGGATGAGCAGTCAGCCCATCTGGTAAACCATCTAAGACTAGGCATCGGACATAGAAGGACCCTGTGACACTGTCTGGCTTCTACTGTCACAAATGCAAACATGTGCTTTCCTTTTGCATTACATGTTTTATTTTGAGAAAACTGAAGATTTTCATGCACTTGTAAGAAAGGCTATAGGAAGATCCCTGTATTATTTTCCCAGTTTTCTCAATGGTAACATCTTGCAAGATGATGGATATTGACATGGATGTAATCTCTTGACATGTGTCATGCTTTTGAAATCAATTTAACTCTGTGAAAAAGTAGCAAAGCTATAAACATCCATAAGGTTAAGCGAACAATCTTGAGATGACATGTTATATATTTATGTACAGGATGCTTTGTTGGCTGGGCAAGGAACAGCAGGTGCTGATAAGTCACTGAATCCTGGCTGTTTTGAAGTGACCCAATTCCTCACTGGCAGCATTTACCACGGAGGAGGAACATTTTTACATTTTGTTTCAGTTTAGCATTTCCTAAAATTAAGATGATAGAGTGTCCAGCAGGGTATGCACCAGAAATCATCACACAGAGCAGAAAGAGGAAGCTTCCAAACTGCACAATTTGAGCACAGAACAAAATAGTCACTGCATAGTGGGAGAAGTAGAGGATTAGGAATGACAGGATGGAGAGCAGTGCGTTGATGTGGGGATTCCTGCAGGGGTCCCTGGTGCCCATGGTTCTCATCTGCTGAGTGTGTCTCCCCAGGGAGAAAACCAAGAGCAGAACCGCAACGAGGAAGATAAGTAATGGTGGCACGAGTCCCGCAATGAAAATATAAAATGGTTCAGAAGGTGTGTCTTCAGTTTTCGTCCTATTTTTGGAGAAATGGTTCTCAATGACTCCTTTGTAAAATGACCACATGTATTTGCTTTGGAGGCCAGAACTGATCAATGAGTGGAGCAGAGATCCCAGGATCAGCCAGGGCACCAACTTGGATATCCTCATCTTTAGCCAGAAGAATATCGGGTGTGGAATGGTGGCGATCTTGACACAGTAGAAAACGCCAAGCCACGTGGCAAACCAAAGCCCCAGTTCATTTACAAACATGAGAATTAGAAAATTATCAATAAACACAGACTCTTTCACCAAGGAGAGAGCAACCAGATGGATGCTAAAGATGAGCACCTGCATACAGATCCTAGTCGTCGCCAGGCAGGAGAGGAGCAGATCCAGGGAAGCCAGTCTTCTCTGCCTCACCAAGGCGATGCTGTTCACCACCAAGATGATGCTATTTGCAAAGACCCCAGTGAGGGACTGCATCACTGCCCAGAGAAGAAATATGATGAAGTGAGCCTCTAGCATTTTAAGAAGAGAAAAATCAGTTATTTTTTAAAAGGATGTATAGATTTCAGACAGTGCCAACTATTCACACTTTCCAGTTTTCTTTCAGCTCCATCAGGACCCCTGTGGAAGGCAATGGAGTAGGAAGGGGTGTGCATTTGTTTATATTGCCACTTTCTCAATTTAGTTCTGAGACAGTCAAATAAGAAAGAGATACTCTGGCAACGATTTGCTTCTTAGTGACGGCTTTTGCATTTTCTATGTCTACTTAGATTTCAAAGCCATCACAAGCAAATAGTGGAATCAGACACCTTTAGATCTGCTAGGAAACCAACCCTAGGTACTCAGTCCTCACTCTATCATGAGGGACTAATTGTGGCTACAGATGTGGCTCTACCCAAGATTATTGAGGCATTCTTCAAAAACCAATTTTTGAAAAGTTATCCCTTCTGCTATAATGAAGTCCTACAACCAGCAATATAAGACGGCTAACCTAAGTAGCAACACTCCAATCTTCAAAGATTGAACAATTAAGGACAACCCCAAATTTAATCTTTTATATGATAAAATGCAGATGATAAGTCACAAAATGTCATAAAATACAAAAGTAAGATAATTAGGCTAATATATATGTACAGACATTGGGTCAAAAACCTAAAGGAAGGTGAGGTGTGATAAAGGGGCTCACTCAACACCTCTCATACCAGCATCATTTGTAGGATAATTCAAATGTTGAAATCTTGTCCCTGCTATTTTTCCAAAATGATGAGAATTGTATGACTTGAGCTGATAGTTCTAGAGGAGAGATAAAGACAAAATAGCACATGATTCAATTTGTGGCTCTAACTGCCTGGCAGACTATGGGAAAACTAAATTAGCATTTATTAACATGCATACTGTTCACTTCACACCACACCAGATGCCTCACCTCAGTCCCGCTGATGCTTCTTGGTTGGGGTGCTCTCTGTGCCACGTAGGATGTCTCCCTCCTCCCCAGCCTCTCCGCACTGGATGCCACAGATACACCCTGCTCCTCAGCTGTGGCAGCCAAATATTTCCAGACACTGCCAAATATCCTGAGTCACAGTCACTCCTGGTGGAGAAGCAATGCACCAGCCCAGGTGGGTGGAATGCAGCTGTCTTGACGGCATTCTGAGACAAGGTATCATGAACCACAGTGGGGTGGGAAATAGCACTGAGCTGGTTCTTCAGACAATCCGCCACCACAGCAGGGGTCAATTCATGAACACTGGGGAATTAGCTCTTCCAACCTAGCACTAGATCCAAACACACCCCACAGACCCATGATGAGGCACATGTGCTTATGAATATGTTTTAAGTATTGTTTGGAGGGGTCAGAAAAAAACATTCTTGATGAACCTTCAATTCCACAGAAGACAGGAAGGGAAGCCGCCGTATGGAAATAATTAGGGGGCAAGAGTAAATCTTTGGGCAATTTTATCATTCTTTGAATTTGCAACGTCTGTAATGTGCAGGACTTTACTTATTCTTGTCACAACTTCAGCAAGAAGTTGAGAGCCAACAGGAACATCAAGCAGGCGCTGAGGGAGGCAGCTCCCAGTGGACACCATCAAGAGAGATCCAAGTTCAAGCTTGGCAACAAGATGAGCCTTGTCTTCTCTCTCCAGTGGAAAGAAGGAAGTATCAGAACCTCTTTCCTAAATATGTTACATTTTGCAGACTGGAAAAGCAAAAATGTAAGGGCATCCACCTATGAAATTAGGATGCCAAGAACTCTCAGAAGGGCAGTTAGCTGTCCTTCCCCAGATTCCCATCAATCCCTCATTACAACTGTTACTTCAAGTGCAAAAACTGGTTATCTGTTTCTGTGCGTGGTGAAATTCAGTCCTGAGAGGGCTGATCCCAACTTTCTTTGCATCCTTAGCATTTATTCATTCATTTGGTGTTTGGCATATGCTGGGTTTGTTAACTAGAACAAAACCCAGATTTTGTACCAGAGGAAGAGAAATTAAGTAGCACAAAGTCAACTTGAAAAAGAGTCTTTGTTTTCCACCTCTCTGTTCCTAGACATCCAGGGTTGTGACACCAGCATTGTGTCCGTCCCTGTTTGCTCCAATATCGCCAAGACACTGCTGGCCTGGGCTGGGGTGCTGCAGCATGGTCTGAGCTCTTCAGTGTTGCAGAAGGGATCACTACTGGGGGAAAGGAGAAAAAATCACAAGTTCCCTCCCGAGTCTAAAAAAACTATATAGTCTTCCGGCACTGACAGAAAAAGAGAAGATAATGCATGGTTCACCAAAGACTTAAAGCAACAACTATGTCCAATTCTATTTAAAACTTGCTTTTTAAAATCTTTTGAATCCCAGTGTCTTGAGGGCCGTTTGATTCTCAAATAGCCCATTGTACCTTTTGTTACAACCAGCTTGGGGAGCAGAGGCACTTCTTCAGAGGGAGCTTTATTTCGTGTGGAATAGGTCTTCTGATGCGGGGATCCCATGGAGCCAAAAGTAAAAATGGATGAGGCTTCAGCTACATTTCATTCATGAAGTAGTTTCCTTCATCTGTCACTTCTGGTGGCACACAGAGAGGCTGCTGAGGGCATGACACTCCTGGACAGGTGTCACCAACCAGCCTCAAATTGCACTTCTTACACGAAAGGCTGGTGGAATAAGAGGTGTCTGCTATGGTTTGGATCTGGAATGTACCCCAGTGTCCATATTGGTGGCTTGTCCCCCAGGCAGCAATGTACAGAGGTGGGGCTTGGGGGAAATGCTTGCATCATGAAGACAGTAAATTCATCAAAAGATCAGTCCACTGTGGCTCAATGCACCTTGGGCAGGTGGAGGGGATGCTGGAAGTGGGATCTAGAGGAGGAAGGGTCACTGGGGGCGTGCCCTGGAAGGGTTTATCTTGCCTTGGATCCTCTGGCCCTGCCCTCTGCATCTGGCTGCTGGGAGCTGAGCCTCTTTCCTCTACCCTCCCTTCCACCCTGATGGTCTGCCCTGCCTCAGGCCCAGAGCCATGGAGGAAGCTGACCCTGGACTGAAACCTCTGAAACCATGAGCCAAAATCCATCCTTCCTCCTCTAAGTGGTTTTCACAGTTGTTTGTCACAGTGACAGAAACCTGACTAAGACAGTGTTTATGGACTGGAGTGCCACATTTGTGGGATTGCTAAGTGAATGTCCAGTTCCACCCCCAGGAGCCGCCCTCAGTCCTGGGGTGGCATCTACATCTTGTAGATGCCTTCTTGTAGAGTTCTTCCTTCCCCTTCGGATCCCATCCACCAATCCAAGTTGTCGAGGACATGAGCCATGCTCTAAGCAAGAGTAAGCTCAGTGTCTCAATGATCAACAGAATAAACCTAACAAACCAAAAATGACGCTAAGGATAGAGCCCTTTGGGGTCTCTCAGGCAGTTTGTTTTATTGAGAAGGACTCATCCGGGAGCGGCTGCTTCTGAGATGAAAATCACAAACGTCTGGCTTCACCTGTCAGTCAGTGGCTTGGAGCGTTGACAGTTTTACATGGACAAATGGCTTGGAACAGATGGAACAAGACCCGATGTGGAGAAATTCACATGATTATTACCCCGTATTACCCTGATTAAATTCGTTCACTCGCACTCATCTGTAATGAGCACTCATTAAAGGAGACAGCACTAAATATTCTTGAGGTAACTGACAGGCAGAAAGAGTTGCTTATTTATATTCAAATCATTTAGCTCCTCAAAAGAAGCTGCGATCTTTTCTGGATGCAGTTAGACTGATTTGGTGAGCTTTTCAGCAGGTAGAAGGCTAAAATATTCATTTTCTGCTTTGCAGCTGCGCACGGACATTTACTTTGATATTGTTAGTCATCAGGAAAGTGAGCGATCTTTTCAATACCCTTCCCAACTGGGTCTTCCCACTTCATTATCAGGGGAACAATTTCTGCTTTAAAAAACATGTGCACATATTAAGATTATTGTGTATTTAATAAGATCAGTCAAATAAGAACAAAATAGACCCTTGCAAACCAAAGCAGACATTTTTTTTTTCTGAGTCTGCTTTGGAGCAGGGCTCAGCCCTTATAAAGCCTATATGGAATTTATTCCATTTAAAATTCACAGCATCGTGGTTAAAAAGCACCAGACACTTTCAGACTAATCGTTCTTTAAATCCACTGGTTTGCTTCTCTCCAGTTGCCTCTGTCGTTGATCTTGTGGGCTAAAATTCCAGTCTTTAATATTCAGGTCACTTCCGTGCACTTGTCCCTTCTCTTCCTCTATTTATCCTAGTAATTTATTTCCTCACTCCATCCAATATTCTGAAATTTATTTGCATTGCAGCAAATAGAGGAATAGAGCAAAGCAAGGCATTGCATTTAAGCCTTACATATAGAGAACTTCAAGTGCCTTACAAACAAGAGTCCCTCATGGTGATGAAGGGGAAACAGAAGCCAGAGATTCTCATCAGAGGCATCTGAGACCCTCAGATTTTGTCTTTGGCTCTAAACGAGTTCCCCTGTGGAATTTCAAAACATTTATTGCTTCTTTCCACCTTCCTCCCACTCCTTCCCCTCTTCTTTCCCTTCCTCCCTCCCATACTTCAGTCCACATTTATGGTGTGGAGACAACAGCTTCTAGGCACAGAACAGGTCGTAAGGAACAAGTCTGCCATCTGGGGATCTACGCCATGGTGGGGCAGATGAGAACCGAGCAAGTGAAGAGGTAGTCATTCCAGGCCAAGTCAACGGGAGTGTGATTTTGGAGAGTGTGGTCAGGAAGGGTGGTGGGAGGTCTGGGTGGGAGACCTGGGCATGAGCATGCAGGGCAAAGAGAACAGGAGATAAGACCTTACCACCACCACCATGGAAAAGAGAGTACAAAGCCTTCCAGAAAAATCAAAAGCCAAAACTGTTTTGCCTGGAGCAGAATGAACACAAAAGGAAGCACCCAAGGAGATGAGATTAGAGGGGAAGGCACAGCCAGATCCCCCAGGGTGTGGGCCCCAGAAACAGCTGGGTTTTGTCTTCAGCGTGATAGGAGCCCATTGTAAAG